GAAAGAGAGTGGACCCGTCTGTTGTGTAAGATGAGAGAGTGGACCCGCGTCTGTTGTGTAAAATGAGATGCTCCGAAGCGTGGCATCAGACCCAATGTTGGACTATCCACAGTGAAATGTGTATTTTGACCACAGTGCTGACATGCTCCGAAGCGTGGCATCAGACCCAATGTTGGACTATCCACAGTGAAATGTGTATTTTGACCACAGTGCTGACATTGCTACCTGTAATGCTTCCTCTGATTAAGCTGATCCAAAAAACCAAGTGAGTGTTTGACCAACAATATTACTCTGCAGGTAGACATACTGTTACCTGTATCGTTTCGGGATGATGGCAGTGATTAACTACAGGATGTGAAAGACACGTGTAATTTTAGATTACAAAATACTCGAATCTTGTTGAAATACCATGTACAAATTTCAGTGTATTCATAACAGTCCAGGGGTGATACCTGTCGCTTTTGAGGGCGACAAAGCTGGGGAAGGGTCTGGAGAACAGGTCTGATGAGGAGTGGCTGAGGGTGTTCAGCCTGGAGAAGAGGAGGCTGAGGGGTGTCCCGATCGCTCTCTACAGCCCCCTGAAAGGAGTTGGTAGGGAGACAGGTGCTGGTCTGTTCTCCCCGGTAACTGGTGACAGGACAAGAGGAAACGGCCTCACATTACATCAGGGGAGGTTTAGATGAGATGTTAGGAAAAACTGCTTCCCTGAAAGAGTGGTCAGGCAGTGGAAGAGGCTGCCCAGGGACGTGGTGGCATCACCACCCCTGGAGGGGTTCAAGGAGCGTGTAGACGTGGCGCTTGAGGTCCAGCAGGTATGGGAGTGTTGGGTTGATGCTTGGGCTGGATGATCTTACAGGTCTTTTCCAACCCCTGTGATCCTGTGACTGCCCAGCTGTCCCCTACCCGCGTGACAGAGTACAGGACAACACTGTTTCAAGGCAAAGCCGCAGAAAGATCATTGACTTCTTCCCTTTAAGGGACAGGAAAACCCACGCAGATGCTGAACCATCTGATATCCCTTCCAGAAAGTTTATTTCCTCCTTTTTCCCCAGATCATGGGAACCTCCTCACTGGGCAGACAAAGAACGAGCAAACAAACCATTACCTGCTTCCAGTTACATGCCTGGGCAGGCCAGCGCTTGCGCTACAAACGGAAATGTTATCTGAAACACTTATTCTGGCGAGGAGCACGAAACGCGCTGTGATTACACCCCACGCGCCAGTGCCACTGCGAGCTTTCACGCAGCTTCAGTCACGCTGGCAGAGACGGGCAGGAAAAAATTGCTGTGCCTGAATCAAGTAACATCTACTGCCAAGTAGGGTAAACACCCCCAAAACGGGCTTTTTGGGCACGTCTGTCCCAGCTCAACTCCCATGGGAAGTGCTCTTCTGAGCACACAAGTCTTGAGCAGCCAGGATCTAGAAATGAAATTCCTTCCACCTTCCATCCCTTTTCTAACTCGGAGTGCTGCATGATCTCTGAGTAAAACGACACACATCTTTCTTTTTAAGTGTGCTGCTTTCACTTCTCCCAGTTTTTGTTTGCTGGAGCTTTGTCAGTGTGCACAAGGATGGAGACAGACATGTCTGTCCCCCCAGACTGTACTCCCAGTAATTAAGGCAATTTGCACCAAACCTGCATGTAGTTGAGTGCCACAGCAAGGCTGAAAAAAAAAATTCCTAAGCGGAATTTTGCACTGGGGACAAATATGGCCCCAGTAATAGAGCTCCCTCCCAGTCCACTGCAGAAGAGCTACTGGGAGAGGAAGGGGGAGGGGAGCTGAGCTAAAGCAACGGGAAGAACCGAGTGACCCGCGAGCAAGGGCACCACAGTCCGAGCGCTGTGCACTTGGCCACAGTGCAGCAGAGGAAAACCGATGCTGATGTGCGAGACATCAAATAAATAAGATCTTCCTCTCCCATGGGAAGGAATTCTGATGTCCTGAGAATCTGATGTTCTCCCACTCACAAAAGAAGAGGAAGACGTTAAAAAGCATTAAGTCCTTCCTTTAAATCGTTTCTCTGGCTTCCCCTCCGCTTCCTCCAGCACGCTTTTTTCTCCCCGAAAGACTGATTCCAACAAGCATGTTGGTTAGGAACTTCGTTTGACTCCGGCGGCAGAAAGAAGAGGCGCCGTAGGCCGGCGGTGCGCAGCAGACAGGCCTCATTCGGAACACCTTCAGCTGAACAAGGACAGGCAGCAGCAGGCGAAAGAGAAGGCTTCCTCAACAGCCGGCAGGAAGGCAGACATCTCCAGACAGTGTTCCCCGTTGTACAGGAGCATCCTCTCACCAGTATCCCTTCCCTCCCAGTGCTCCCCTTGTAAGAACCCCTAGAAAAGGAGATCACGAGAGCAGCCTTTCAGCTGGCCTGCTCATGCTGCTCTCCCTCGCTTGCCTTCTGCAGGCAGCGCTCCAACCCCGGAGCAGCTGCCCAGCAAGGTGGTCCGTGCCCAGGCCCCTGTGCATTCCAGAGGCGTTCGGACGATGCCCTCATACGGCAGCAGCCAGGCTGCATGGTCACTGTCGGGCTCCTCCAGCTGGAACCGTCTGTTTATTCGGGTCTGTAAGATGTGCACTGCTAAGCTCAGGTCAGGCTGATGAGCTCTGCTCCTTTTTTTTATTAAACAGTTCCTTAAACAATTGGAGAAAAATCAAACTGCTCTATGTTGCTCTGTACTCCCTCAGCCCGGAAAAGAATGCACCCCAAAACGGTGCTGGGTGAAAGACCAGAGATGCTGCAACAAAGACACAAGTGAATTCAGAGAGAAAAACAGGTTTCTTTTCAGTGGTCACAAGTACAGGTGTTGGGTTTTGGGGGGGTAGATGCTTCAATTCAGAAAGTGAAATAAGCCCCATCTTACACCTTTATGCGAAAGAGATTTGCAGAAGCAGTCCATCTGTGCGGAAACACGAGGCCTGGGTAGCTGCCAGGGTTTCCAAGTGTGACCTGCTGTGCAAGTGCTGATTATGCAAGTTAAAACTGTCTGAGGTGAATTTATGTTCCCTGTTTTCCAGGGCTCCAATGAACATTCCTTTCCTTACAGAAACCATGTCAAACCCCAAACTTTTATCTGACAAGCTTTCAAGATTCCTGACTAGTTTTGTAAAGCCCAATTCCTTCTTGTATGCAAAATGAAAATGTGTTTATTCCAAATAAGAAGCTGAGGCCAAACTGTATATCCAGGAACTTTATGAAGGATCAAGGTCTGGTCACTGTGTTTGAATTATTCACAGAAACTTGGGTGGCTTATTTCAAAACAACGGAAAAATGCGAATGACTGACAACCACATCTCTCCTCTCTATGAACGATAATTTAAGCATCCATTCCCATCCTCACCTTGGAACTCTAAAGCCGTTTCCCAACATCAGCACCTCCCCAGAATCACGGGACAGCCCAGACTGGATGGGACCTCACCCCCACCCGACAAAGGGCTGATTTCACCACCCCATCAGGCTGCTCACAGCCCTGCCTAAGTCAAAACTTGATGTCTTCCCAGGAGCCAAGGTTGCACTGCTCTTCTGGGTGAGCCCTGCAGTCCCTGCTCACCCTCTCTGCAAAATTCTCTCTTTCTAAAACCCAAAATTAGTTTTTCCTGAGGCAATTTGTATCCATTGACCATTCTACTTTCACTGTTCACTTCCAAAAAGAATCCGTCTTCTCTGCCAACAGCCACTAAGCAGCTGAAGACAGCAACGAGGTCTCTCCTTCGCCGTCTCTCCTGGAAGCTAAACAAACCTCGCCTTTCTGCTGCTCCTCATCCATCACATCTGCCAGCCGCTGGCTGCCCACGCGGGCTGTGCTCAGCCGGACTCGTTCCAGCTTCCCACAGCCTGACTGCCGTCATCCCGTGGCGTTTAAAGTGTCGCTGCGCTGAAGATGAGCAAGGACTAAGGTGACGGTTACCTAAACACGGAGGGGTTGCTCCCTGCGAGATGCTTTACAAGCAAAGCACAATGCGAAGGTAGCCACACCTTGGTTTTAAAAAGGATCAAGCAGGCTTCACACGCTGAAAAAGCGCCACACTGCCTTTTTTCCTCCCATTCTGTTGAAGAAAGGTGGGTTATATACAGGTGCCTGTTAACATTCAACACCAAAACAGCGTTGGAAACACGCTGTGAAGTGCAGTTCGAGCAGCAGACGGGAGCGAGTTGTGACCAGGGCACTGCTGGCAGCAGTGACGATGCTCAGTGCGTGTTTTCAAAACCACTGCCTATAAATTTCTGGTACTGACCTATTTTTCCAGAGATTGCGATGGCCTCAAATTCTCACCTTGGATATGAACCTGCCCCAAGAATGACGTTAGCGTAACTGCACCAAACGGGCACTGTTGCGGCACGTCAGCGAACCACGAATGGCGGCAGCTTTGCCCGCCACGCGCATGCGCCGGTTTTACCCTCCCGAGAAGCCACGAAGCGAAATGACCAGGATGAGGGTAAAGACCCTGTGATATCTGGGCAGTAGAGTTTTAAATTGTAATTATTAAGGACTAGTGTAGAGTAAGTATTCACTTTTTGGTTCAGCGATGAGGTTCAACGCTGCTGACTCACGTCCAGCCGGCGCGTTGCAACCTGCAGAACACGCAGCCGCCACAAACCGTACGTGATCTTTTCGGAATTTCTAACAGCCCGTGGTGACATTCTGTTTGCATGTAAGGGTTGTAGTGGTAGCTGTGCGAAACGAAAACGTCATTCATGTTTAAATGAAAACACCAGTCCTGGAAACTCCTGTGGTGTCGCCCGGGGGAAAGGACTCTGGCAGCCCTGGCACGTATTTGATAAATCAGCAGCTAGTAACTTCAGCTCTGGGCATCGGGCGATCCGACTGCTCCCCCTGACGTCCCCTGTACCAGCCGGAGTCGTGCTGGGCAGGGGAAATCCCTCCCTTGTGCACACACACACTACCACATAGTGGTTTTTAGAACAGATTATTAGTTGGAAGTTTGTACTGATTTCGTATTTGTCACTGACTGTTAAATTTATTTTTAAACAGATTTTAAGAACTTCTTTGCAGAAGAATATTTTCCCAGAACTAGAGGATCATGAGGAAACCAAGACTCATCTGTTTAATGCTAATAGCTGTTGTGGGAGCGACTGCGAGCAACACACAGGAATTTGAAGGCAATGACGAGGAAACCGAAGAATTCATTTACATGAACAGGTACAAGCGTTCCAGCGACAGCCAGGACAAATGCACGTACACCTTCATCGTACCTCAGCAGAGGGTGACGGGTGCCATTTGCGTTAACTCGAAGGAACCTGAAGTTCTACTTGAAAACAGGGTAAATAAGCAAGAACTACAGTTACTTAACAATGAACTCCTCAAACAGAAGAGACAAATAGAAACTCTCCAGCAGCTGGTAGAGGTGGATGGTGGGATCGTTAATGAGGTTAAACTCTTAAGAAAAGAGAGCAGAAATATGAACTCTCGTGTCACACAGCTCTACATGCAGTTACTACATGAAATCATCCGAAAACGTGACAATGCCTTAGAACTCTCTCAGCTGGAGAACAAGATCTTGAACCAAACCGCAGATATGTTACAGCTGGCAAACAAATACAAAGACTTGGAGCACAAGTACCAACATTTGATGTCAATTGCCAATAATCAGTCGGTGATAATCGCCCAACTGGAAGAACACTGCCAGAGAATGCCGTCGGTGAAGCCGCTGCCGCAAACCCCACAGCCACCAAATAAAGTGTACCAGCCTCCCGCTTACAACCGCATCATTAACCAGATAGCTACCAACGAGATTCAGAGTGATCAGAACTTGAAGGTTCTGCCACCTACCCTACCGACCATGCCTGCAGTTACCAGCGTTCCGACGTCAACAGACAAACCGTCCGGTAAGTGACACTATGGTATGTCTACGTTAGTCTGTGCTAGCGTGCAGTGGGCAGCATCTTAATGTAACAGCAGAAATGCAGCCAGACTGTCTTTTGCTGAAAATAAATGTAAATGAATTATTTTGAACTAACAGTTTTCTTAGACCTGACATTGTCTGTTGCCCATCCTGTGGTTTTAACGTAGCTGCTGTAGTACAAGCAGAGAAAGAAAGTGAAAAAAGAGTGTGTGAGGTTCAGACACACTGGCCCCACGGCTTCTCACGTCACGCTGCCAAGGCAAACCCACCATTTGTATGAGGTACGTGAGACGGAGGGGCCACAGAAAAATCTTACGGATCAACAGTCAGCCATCTAAACTTTACTGACCCGTGCCCAGGACCGAACTGCTGAGTTCACACCTCCAGAGGGGTTTGGCACTTCCCGCGTAGACGTTTGCGAAGGGATTACGACCCGCTGACTGAGCACGCGGTCACTCTTGTGGGTGCGTATCCGCGCTGCACCTCGCACAGGCACCGGCGCTCTAGGGCAGCAAGTGGTGGAGCAGGAAGGGATATTGTACAACCCTCACTAAGAGCCCGAGGCGTTCTGCCACAGGCAAGACCGGAGGTGTCTGCAACCAGTTAGAGGGCGGTTGATCCACTTGATAAAGAACTACCAGGTAAAGAATCCAGTCTCACCTCTGGTCCCGCCCCTTTCAGGCAGCATCGAGTCTTGTGTGTCACATACAAACGAACTCTTTCGTCAGTGTGTGGGCAACAGGTACTGGCTTCAGAAAAAAATGAGGGGCCCATAGACAATGGAAATTAAGACTCGGAACACAGTAAGGCACGTGACCTGCACTCAATATATTTGAAACATGTTCCAAATGACATCGCCAAACTCTTTAGAATTATCAAATAATGCCACTGCCACATAAAAAACCTGCAGAAAACCCAAACCAACAAAACTTATTTCTCCTTGGAAGTTGTGAGGGTGACAGAGCATGGAACAGGCTGCCCAGAGAGGGGTGGAGTCTCCTTCTCTGGAGACTTTCCAAAGACCCTGCACTTGTTCCGGTGTGATCTACTCCAGGGGATCCTGGTCTGGCAGGGCGTTGGACTAGATGATCTCTAGAGGTCCCTTCCAACCCCTTCCCTCTGTGAATCCGCAACGAAAGACACTCGAGCAGGGGTCAGTGTGAAGTGCAGCCTAACTCGCTCTGCTGCGACGCAGTTATTTCACAACACTGCCAGAGATGATCTCCCCACAGCTGGCTTTGGCACATGCCGAGCCTCAGACAAAACCACCATGATTCTAATGGGCTTTGTTAAAAAATAATAAAATCAGGAGAAAATCAGGTCTGTTACAGTTTCTTTGGAGCAAGACCCTACAGCATTGCCTCTACCAATCACATTTTCACCTGGATCTCGTAGGGGTTCAAGCCCAGTACAGCATTTCCCTATCTTTCTGTAAGGGAACTCTCTTTCAAGCGTTCTTTTAAGAACTTCCCCTTCGTGTTACACTCTTCTGAAAACTTGTTAATTAGTCCATATCCTCCTTGTGCTCTTAAGCACCCAACCTGGAGCTGAGGTTTCACCATTACGCAGGAGAACAGAAGAGTTCCTGCCTGCACGTGGCGCTTTTGTTGATCTGTCCCCATTCGGCACTGCCCTCTTCTGCAGAGTAAAACACTGAGTGACTGCCCCGCAGAACCCCGACATCCTCCCTGGAGGAAGTGCTGCTTATCCTGCGGCTTTTCATGCTGATCCTCCGGCAGCCCTTCTGAAGTCCGTGATGCTAGGGTTGGGTTTGACATCTGCTGCTTCTCCCTTATTCCCGTAACCGGTCAGGAAAAGTAGTTTCACATTTCTTCTGCACAAATCCACTATAATGCTCACTTCTCTCCTTATTTTCTTGTTTGCAGCAGTTTGATTTGTTCAAGCCCATTTCCAACAGCTGAAGTCGAGCTGTTTGACCTTTCCTCTCCAGGGTATCCTCCTCCCCTCTCCCCACCTTTCCCTTTGGGCAAGGAACATGGCATACCTTTTCCTCATCCTCCACAGAATGTTCTCTACTCCCAAAGCACATCCCAGACAAAATCCCTCCTCACAATTAATGCCGTAAATGATGCTGCAGCCAGGCATCTGGAAAACGTGACTCCATTCTTCTAAGCAAAACATGAATTCCCAGTAAAATGCCTGCAGTCCTGTTTAGGAAACGGCTCCTTGGACTCGCTTGAAGGAGCTAAGGGCCTCGTAGACAGCTTGAGGATGAAATGGTTTGGCTGCAATACTAACAGCTACCCCTCCTTGGAGTTACAATGCAGAGGTTTGGGGTAGCTGTGTCACACCAGACCCCGGCATCTCTGCAGGCGTCAGTGCGTATCCACCACAGCTTTGACACGCCAGTGAAAACGGCCCCCGTGCTTCACCGGCAACGGCGGAAGGGTCAGCCACAGGCGCAGGGACTCCAGATGATCCGCAACAACAAGGTGGAGTGTAGCACCCGACAAGCAACAGGCCCGGCGCTCCTAGGTGAAGCACTGCTACCCCTTCTGGGTACAACAGACTTAGAGGAAAAGCTTCCCAAAGTATCCGTCTCTGTATAAATTCGCCAGGGCATGCTGGGAGATGGGAGGGAAAGACAAACAAAAAGCTGACCTTGAAAACTGAATGAATTTGACTCCTCATCCTTCCACAGCAAAGCCACAGACCTTCCCCTGGGAGAGAAACATTCAGAACCCCCTTACAGCAGCCATGAAATGGGTGTTTTCTGCGCGGCCGCTGTAGCAGACGTTATTCCCAGAACACACGCATGCAAACCAGGTTATTGTGCTCTGCCAGACAGATGCTGCAGGCAAACACCGAGACCCTGTGCCGCATCGTCAACAATAATGTTACGGTGGCATCCTGGGGTGCCTTAAGAAGAGCGTGGCCAGCAGGTCG